TGTGATTCTATGATTCTAAGTAGCATAAACTCATTTAATTTTTGCTCTTAGCACATACGTAGCTCACTTTCTTCACTAAGCACATGTAGCATTTTACAGTCTTCATATTGGAAGGGAATAAATATGAGCGCACATTTCCCACATCCTCTCTGTTTTAAAACTTCACCTCATACCTTCCTTATCTGACGCTCACTAACCTCATGAGTCCCTCCCAAGATAGAAGAGTGTATCCCTGCTTATCTCTACAATATTACGGATCTTAAGAGACTTCTGACGAGATACAAAACCTGGATGAACCTAGCCTCCTAGCCAGGCTTAGTACCTCTGCAAGGAATTCTACTGTGAAAAGTGTTTCCAAAAATTATGTTTCCTCTCCAGGAAAAGAAATAATGCAGGGGTGGGAAAACTGTCATCACTGTGACCTACACTGCAAGATAAGGCATTTCATTTGAGAGGAAAATAAAAGTCATCATACACTTTAAATTTGTTACAGAGTCCCGGCTTCAAGTCTCCCAGGAGATGCATCATCGTGTCCAGTAATTCACGACTTGAAGTAACCAAGAACTCACGGCCACATGCCAGTGCAGCCACATCTGTGAGGGAACACAAAACATCACCATAAAAATCACGTTTCAAACACGATAAATCAAATTTTATGCTAATTATCAGGACCACTAAAAATACATCAGCTGTGCATAATGAACTATGGCACTATATAAACTTCAAACTATATTCACCTACATAGCAAATACTGAATCAGCAAGTTACGCTACTCAAACTCCTTCATAATTCTACTTTGGTAATTAAAATATTCAGAGTGGCCAGTATCCTAATAGTAACAGTGAATTATGAAACAAAAGGTTGGAAACAAATCATCTGGGACTGATGCCAAGGGGACCATTGTAGGTCCCATGCTAAAGAAAGGAGATTACAGATTGGTTTGCAATCACTCAGTCTAATATACCTGGCAGGTTACGCAACCAAAACTGCGACGGACGTCTCCTCAAAACCTTTTCCTACCCCACTGCAAGCACTGCGTTGTTCATCCACAAACCAAAAGGCAAAAAAATTTCCAAAGACTACTGCTCCAAAGCAGGCTTTCCTTTAGTTTTTTCCCTTACACTTGCCCCATACTTGATGGCATCCTTAGGTGCAAGAGGTATCTTCCAGCACCCCCAGCCTCTCTGCACCGTGCAACCGGCCAAGCCTCCTCCAAACATGTGAAGCCCCATGTAACTAACTTGTGACAGAAGCTGGTTCCCTGGCCCCCCACTGAGGGTAGGTCTGGGGTCAGCTGCACCATACAGCTCTTCCGCTTTCAGGCAGGCTCAGACTCTCTCTGCTACACACGTACATCACTATGCCTTTTTAATCTCAGCATAAGCAGAGATACTATGGACACAGCATATAATTAAAGACTGTTATCACAATGTTTGTGCACACTGGGCTGTGTAAGAGTTCTGTTCTTCTGTTTTCTAACTTCTGAATGCTTGGCACTTCACAACTGCCTCCTCAGTGTTCATTTAATACCGCTTCCTAGGGTAATACTACTTTGCGGCGTAACTGGGAAGATGAAACTGGTACCTTCTACGTCATTCATCTGACTGTCTCCATCACATTTGAGTTTCAGCAACCTCCTTTCACAAATTACAAAGGGACAAGTCTTGGTAACATCAAATTCATTGTCAAAATTTCTATCAGCTTTAGGGAAGCAAGATTTCGTTCCACCACCCTGATTCCTCCACAGACAGAGCCCCACCCCCCCACCCTTTAAACGTTTACTTTGTGAAGATTTTACTTTTGTTATGTTTTAGGGGTTTTTTTTGTGTTTTTCAATGAAGCAGTTGGAGACAACTGGATTCCACCTTGGTACAGTGGCATAACACATCACATACTGTTCTTTATTACAATCTTTCATGGCACCACGACACCTGAAAATCACACATTCAAAAAAGCTGTTAATAATTATGTTAACAATTCACTTATTTGTATAAGCACCCACTGTTTCATCTATCTCGCATCACGTAGTTAGTCATTTTGACAGTTGCACAGTTTCCCAAAAATGCAAATGACATATCAACCCCATTTCTCACAGCCTTCCAAGCCAAGGTCAGTCATACTGAGACAGATCTGTGCCTTTCTACTTATATTCTAACCCTAAAGAGAAATGTTTAGCATGGCAGTCAGGTTTATTACCTTTTGCTTCTCTTAGCACCATGAACTCATGACAGTGAAGGTGGTGGTCCATCTGATAGCAACAAAAATTCTCAAGCAGTTTCAAAATGCTGAGAACATACCTTAAGATGGGGCTCATCTACTCGCATCATCTGCCATTCATACATCTTGAAGATGTCAGCATTACTAGCGATTCAAAAAACAAATAGCTTGACATCTACAAACTAGGGTGAGCATACAGGACTAGTAGAACGGCCCTTGTGTTACTCCAGATTGAACGGATGTGTTAGGGAATTTCAGAACTCAATGGCTTTTACCCATCTAACCTTTAACTGTACCACAGACAGTACACCACCTCACAGAAGTGCCAATGACAAAATCTGCTAGAACTTTAAAAGACTAGAAAGTCACCCAAGATAATCAGCATTGACCAAATAGCTAACTTCAAAAAGCTGTATTTACTGCAGCACACGTATAAAGCAATACAGAAAATCCCAGTACACAAGGAATGCTATTCTGAGAGATAACATAAACTTACTTGTTACAATCCCTGCCAAAGCTAATACAAACTGATTTTCATCAGAATCCAAATCCTGCTGTTTCGTGTCTTCGCTTAATGACTTCACAAAGCTCTCCATGGTCTGTGCAGTGATTGTAAAAAACTTTACTGCTTTACTCTGCAAGCATGGAGGAGAAAAAAAAAAGGTTATACACACTACAGCTACTATGATTATGAGATGCTACAGTAAAATTGTAAATCTTCAAAATTACTAGAACAGCCAGTTACTTCAACAGAAAAAAGCAGATATGCACCGACATGTTTGATACCCTAATATCTGAAACCATTTCCTCAGAAGAAAATGGGAAACTACTCAATGCTCTATTTATTTATAAATCTAAACCACTGCATATTTACCTCCTAAACCCACAATATGTATCAAAACAGCAGAATTAAAGTTTATTTTTTAAAGTGAGGATATTGCCTCTTCGCTTTGCAACACCTGCATGAGGTGTTTCCCATTTACCTGGGCTACTACAGCATCTTTTGTGAAAATCCTATCCAGTTGAAGATTGGAGAGCAGCCTGATGTAGTGACTTGACATGAATTTCCTAAGAAAACCAACGAAATATCCAGAAAAAAAAAGAATTCAACAGGATCCTAACAGGATTCATTTATTGTTCAATACAGGATGGAGAACAATGGGCTAGGTAGAAGTTCTTTAGAAAAGGAGGTCTCTCCTGGGTCTCAGGTTGAATTTAAGTCAGCAATGCCACATGAGAAAGACTATCATCACACCAGAGTGTACAGACAGAAGAACAGCACATAATCATGCTGTGCAGCCTTCTCCCCTCAGCTGGAATACTGCTGAATTTGGGGATATCTCAGTCGAAGAAGCAGCCACCTGGTACTAAGCCCAGGGCAGGTCGAAGAGCCTGGGCAGTGGTGTAGACAGAGACCACAAAGAAGGACGGAGAGAACTGTTCTTGTTTAGTAATAATTCTGACCCGTAAAACACTACTGAAAACAAAGAAGATGCTGTTTTTCATAACAAAACCAGAGTAGCTGAGAGCCCATAATGCCAGGTTTCCCCATGTCTTTAATCTTTGCCAGGCGTTTTATGAAGCAGTTGAAACTTTTAATTCACTGCCAGCAGTCACCCAATGGGACAGCCCAAGAAATGCCTGAACTTTCAACTCACTTTGCAAAGTGACTGAAAATGTTAATATTTTGTTAAAAGTACTGCTTTCCGGTATGGGCAGAGCCACTGGTAACATTTATTTATTCCTCCACTGCTGAACATGCAGCACATCGAAAATGTTCAGGCCCTGCGGGGTGACTCCAGCAACGGGGCATAAAAAGCAGAGTCAGCCAATACTCGGTACGTTCAGACGGTACTGTGGTCCCACAACAATAGGAATGAAGGGATCATGGGGAACAAGAATAGAAAAAAGGGCACTCCTGCATGTGCTGGATGTACTTTTTAAACTTATGTGGACACCACACCTCAAAGACTGCAATTTTAACATAAGCAGTGACTACAGTTCAAGACATAGAGGGCGTGAGAGAAACTGAAGAGAGCCTACTACAGCAGGGTGGTGTAAGTTGTTATGAAAATATGTATCCATAGGGGAACACAACAGAATACTGAGCAAACCAAGTCGCTGGGATGTTGCACAGAAAACAAGCAAAACCTTCTATTTGCTAGTCCCTTGAGGTGCCACTGGTGTCCTCTCTGCTGAACATTCTTTCCAAGTAGCCATTAATTAAGCAGCAGCGAGGTCTGAGGGGCTGCAGCAGGGACCAATCAGGTTTATAAATAGCAAGTGTGACGTACTTTGGGCAGTCTCCTATTAGCTTGACAGTATTTTCATGGGACTGAAGAATGTCTCACCCAGAGACGTTGAGATAAGGACAGTTCTGAGAGCAGCCATCTGCTTGAGCTCAGATGGTGCAACGAACCCTGTGCTGTCCAACTAACTCCTGCATGAAAACATCAGTTCACATGCAAAGCCGCTGCCATAAAATATAGTCATCTGCCACCGTAGAAGATAACTTAATCCTGAATCCTACCACCTTGTAGGATCCAAAATTTCTCAAGTTGAAGCAAACCTTGACATTGTTCCGAGATAAAACCTCAGCCACATGACAAGGGCTCCCAGCGATATGCTTGAAGTTTTTTTGAAAGACACCTAAACCGTGTATGGACACAAACGGTACATTGGTCCCAAACATCAATTCAGTCAATCTGATTTACAGATCTGTATGAAAGACCTACTTCTCTATCTTTGTGAGGACTGAAAAAAGCTTCAGCATTGCCTTCTAAGGCACGAAGTGATTCTGAATTGATGCCACCCTTCCCCCATGCTTAAATATGAGCAATAGTTTCAAAGTACCCTTGACATTCCTACACATTTATACAGTTCACAGCCCCTTTCAGGGGAGGGAGGAAGATGCTACAAGCTGTAGCAACTTCTCAAGAAATAACCCAAACCAAAACCTTTGCATGGCAAATCTCCATCCTCTTTCAATAACCTGATTCATGGCCAGTTGTAACCTGTGCCTGATGTAACGCCATACAATCTATCTATGTTTTTCCTTGTAGTTTTGTTACAAATCCAGGCACGTTTCTTACCATGTTATGTGCACCATCACAAGAAAATGATGCCCAAAACGTTGCTATGACCTTCACCAGAAGTATATCAGTTCAATGGGCTCTAATGATTGCTGGGAATGATTATAGTAGAAGTATTCTGCATTTCAAACAAACCTAGAAACAAAAGTATTGCACCTTCGCAGTTGGGCTTTTTGCCCACACACAAATCATCAAGTAACAGTTTTGGTTTTACCCAATTCTACTGAATTTTGATACCTAAGACTGCTTTCAACAAGGCTTCTATCAATTTTACTCTCGCCTTGCAGAGATAGGTCATCTTCATCAATGCTAGCCTTTTGTTTATGGGCGACATACCACTTCAATGCTGTTTCACAAGTCAAGTAACAGCCAGTCACCAAGCATTGTTCACTCTTACAGTTACAAACTGTTCTGAAAATACAGAAAGCACTTTTATACTCTTTGTGTTCTTATGGGGGGGCTCAGTAGTGCCCACCTGCCTCTAATGTTTTTTAACTGCTTTATACAGTGTTTTCACAGAATTTTTTTTTTTTTCTCCTTAGTAACTGCTGCTGCTTGGATCTGGAATCATCAGAAATTATGACCAAAAGGTATCACTATACAGCCTCCAAATACCTATATAAAGTTACAATTGTATTTTGGTGCACCCAAACTGGAAAACCTCTTACAACCACACTAGTTTACCACTTACTATAATGAACTAATCCTATAATCCAGCCAGGCTAGATGTGGCTTTGAGCAACCTGGTCTGGTGGAAGGTGTCCGTGCCCATGGCAAGGGGCTTGGAACTAGATGGTCTTTAAGATGCCTTCCAACCCAAACCATTCTGGGATTCTATGATTCTATTCACTCCACAGTTCATCATGCTACTGGAAAAACCAAGCCAGAAGAAACCGTGGCATTAGTTCACTCAGATTAAATACAGCAATCCCTTCTCGTGTTGGCTGTGTCAAGACGGAAAATTTATTTTTTATAAGGCCTGTTCCTCTGATCCCTTGTAATTCCATCAGCTGCACTTGGCAGCAAAACTCCCTTAGTTGTAATATTACTACTGTCGTTAACTGTTGTTGGTTTGGGTGTTTTTTCCCAAAGATACTACCTCTCCACATTTAACACTGAAAAGGTAATAAGATTAACTAGCTGCTAGGCTCTCTAAATTTCCAAGAGTCATGCAAGAATTAAGTCAGCACAAAGATTTAAAGTTGAGAATCAATGGATCTGTCTTCCTTCCACAGAAATAGTTCCTCCAAGCTCTCTACAGACATGGGAACTGCTGCATGTGCCCAAGAATTTTCTTCTGTTAGCTTGCAAAGATATTTACATTGTGCTAGCTGTAGCCTTGCTTCCAATTTAACCATGTGTAGTGGAAAAGAGACAAACCTTGTTTGGTAACATAAGAATTGCTGCATTTGTTCCCAAGCCTGCTGCCTAACACTTTATAGTTCCAACACTTCTTAAATGAGAATGGATTGTTCCCAAAGAACATGCAATTCAAAAAACATTTTTGCTGTCCAGTTAGCTTCCAAACATACCCTTATATCACAGTGTGTTACAAAGCAAGGTCTTTATTCCGAAGGCCGAACAGCATTATCACCGGTGAGTATTCACCTGCCATACTTACTCCTCCTAGAATGGTTTTAACAGCTTCCTCATTGCTAGATACACCCCACAACAACGTGCACACCGCTGCACCCATTTCTGTGCAGTACTCTGCTTGCTGCAGGAGCTGCTGCTTGGCCTCATTCAGCTGCTGGCGGAGGTCTAGTTTCTCCTGAAACAGCGTAAGGAAATTTTGGTTGCACTTCATATCAGCCAAAACAAGTTTCTAGGCTAAGGGACAGAACAAAGGACATCATCATCACGGCTGTATTCGAAACGGTGGTGGCTGGGTGGGGGGTGGCAAACACGCAGGAGCTGCAGATAGATATAGCTCAGGAGAGAAGGTATGTAAGTCGTAAGCACATCATGGAGGCTGACAGTAACCAGAAGCCTGTCCACAAGGTCAGGCCAAGTGACCCACTGAGACTGAGTGGCACCCAGAGAAGCCTGATAGGAGCGTCTACTCCTCCTAAGCAAACAACCCCAGCCTCTTTGAGAGAGAAGGGATTTCAGCAGAGTACAGCCTTTCCAGACACCTCACAAAAGATACTGGAAACATCTTACAGGAAGGGAGGGTTGTTTTGTTTTTCAAAACAGGCTTCTGCCTTAGCCAAGGTGGTAGAGTTGCTGGATATCTAGGATAAATACTGTTGTCTCTTCCAAGCTTTTTCTATTGGCGTATTCCCAATCAGCAGTGTCAAAGTATGACAGAGTCCCTGGAAAAAACACACCTAAGGTTTGAGGTTTGGAGGGCCTTTCATGCCAAGAAAGCCCAGGCACCACTGTGCATCCATCACCTACACGAGCTGCGCAGTGGTCCTCGCCACAAAGCATAAGCAGAGAACAGAGCAATCCAACACAACCAGGACAGTTTCTGTTTGGCAGTACTTTTTTCCAATCACCTGGGAAGTCAGCCAGAAGAATATCACTAGATTGGGTACAACTCTAGGTCTCGCTGGCTTCCTACAAACTGCCACAGGGGTAGTGAAGCTGCTGCACTTCTCATCTTAGAGCCAGCAGACACAGCGAGATCAAGGCAGGGACACTGCCGTCTGTGGTCTCTCAGGGTGGGTGAGGGCACTCTGCTAACTCGGAGTGGGGTGGTATTAGACAATGCGGCAAGGAAAGATAAAGGGCAGGCAAGAAAAATGGTGCTAACTCAAGTATTAAAAAAAAAAAAAAAGAGAGAGAAATCACACTGTCAAAAGAACAGAAGGATCCTGCTCTGACCATTTCATGGACAAGGGATTTTCAGATTCACCAGAGGAAGCACTCTTCTCAGCACAGCCTCCCCTCTGTGTTTAGCTATCAGGAGGAAGTAGGGGGAAATGAGAAGGAATCTCCTCTATATCAATTTGGAAAGCAAATAAACCGAGTAAAACTTTCCACCATGTATTCTCATCAAGATTTTAAAATAATTATCTGGTCATTTTGGGGATTCACCTCAATGTCTTGCGCTGAGAGTCTGGAAAAACAGAAATGTAAACTCATCTGAAAATGTACGTAGCATGATATCAAGCAGCACAAAGCTGCTTGTACTCTGTCACCAATTACCCACCTAGCCTCCCGCAGCACACCTGACAGCATGATTCACATTGCTTTATCATGCTGCTAATGGAACGCACAGGCTAGGATTTGTAACGTCCAAATTAAATTTATCAAGCAGATATCGCTGCATATTTACACTCTGGAGTCCCTTTCACCTTACAGTTTAACATAAGCAAAAGACTGACACCTGCTGCTGATTCCCTACGAATAGAAGTCGCAGGAAAAGTCCTTTATTTCTTAACACCTTGACCATTTTTAAGTTCACCAAATTCTAGCTTTTACATAACTCACTGCCAGACCTAGCAGCTTTTCTGCCACCACGAGCACCATCAAAACATCCACAGGCATCTTCCTGTCCAATCCCTGTACCATCTCTCTTTTCCATAGGAAAATGTATCTTTAAATACACTGCATTTGCATTTTGATGTTAGTACTGAATAGTAAGACATAAAGCTCTAATACCAAAGCTAGATCCCCTAACAAGGATGCAAAGCCAGCACAAGAAATGCCAGATTTTTTTAATAGATCAAAAGCAACATCAGAACAAAGATACAAAGCAAGGAAAACAAAATAGTACATTCACAAGCCAGGAAAATAAACGGAGCCTGCAAAAGCAAATAAACTCGCTGGAAGCAACACCCCCGAGTTCACATGGCGAAGCAACCACTGTGTTATGCAACACCACCACCTTCAGGAAAGGGTCAAGGCACAAGACTACAGCAGTGCCTTAGTAGGTAACTACGAAAGGACAGACAAAAGCAGCATTAGCCAACAATAACATGGGCAGTTCAAGTTTTGCTAAGGCTCAGAAAGCACTGCAATTCCCTAATCAGTGATACAGCACTGCACAGAAAATTTGGAATGCCAAGAGTTGATGTACGATCCCCTAAGAAAAGGGCACTGCCCAACTAGAAAATGCATTTATTTTACGTTTGTTTCAGTGAATCATTTCCTTCTCCTCCAGAAGATGAATGTGTAGAAAACAATTCAGAAACTACATGAAAGGACACCTGTAGCAGACCAGCAACCAAACGAAAAACACCATGCAAACTGATTAACAGCAGCAAAAACCACACATATACCTACATCGTCATCTTTTACCCCAAAGTGCTAAGAGACTTCACAACGTAGATAAACACAATCCACTCAGATGAATGCACCTTTGTAGTACACAACAGAGGCCATTCAGCCACCCAGCGTATACTGCACAACAGCAAAGATATGAAGAGCTTTGATCAAGAACACCAAGACAACTACTCTTAGTAAACTATCCATGCTTGAAGTGAAACTTTCATCCAAAAGAAATCCCAAACCTAAACCACCTGCTATTTATTTTGCTATATTAACAAGAATAAAGGGTGGGACCCACTTTATTAATACCTAAGCAGCAACACTGAATCTTACAGATATTTTACCCTGGGTGCTTATATAACTGAAGACCTGGATGCACTGCAACACCACCCATGTACCTATTGCCGAACAACACCAGCTATCCTGAAATACTTATTTTGAAGTAAGGAATGCCCAAACAGACAACATCATACTTTCACATTCACACCGAACTTCATTCTAGAATGGCTTGTCCACACAGATGTGCCCTAAAAGCGCATGACTGAACCGTTCATTTATTCCTTTCCAAAAAGGAAATAATTTCCGTAGATCCTCCTATCTTTGTGCAGTTCCAAGGCTGGCAGACGCTAACTCTAGAACCCAGGCCAAGTGAGCTTCTGCTGAAGAGAGCTGTCAGCCCCAAGGAAATGAACTTTTGCAGCAAATAATCACAGCCGATTCTCACACCTCTCAGCAATTAAGCCGCTAGTCTGTGTGATCCTGTATGAAACACAACAGCTTCACAGAAGAGCCGCAGTATGAGAAGTCACGGTCCTTGCTGTTCCTTCACTGTTAAAACTCTCCCCTCTTGTAATAACCACATATAACATTGACAGAGCAAAAGGAGCCCTGTATTGTTCTTCAACTCACAGCTGTACATGGCAAGTGGATCAATAGGAGCATTGGGAAAGACTATTAAAACTAAACAAAGGTACACAGCCTACAGCAAGCCAGAAGAGAAGCCAGTTTCGTTTTGTACGCTGCATCGCTGACGCTACCTTCCATTGTCCTCTTTGAAAATACGTTGTAGCTACATTAAATTCAAAAGAACCGATTCTGCAAAGGACCTCTGGATGCCGGCTACACCACAATCCTCCCAAATACCCGATGCTTTACTTTAACATGTTAATATAAACAAAATGCTAAGGGTTGGGTTTTAACTTGACATACACCAGAACGAACCCCACCAAGAAGCCTGTAACGCAACCCCACACAACCGCGCCTCGCTACGGAAGTTAAGAGTGGCCTATGCAGTTGTGCAAGAGTTACGTACCCAAGTGGGAGACTGACTGTCAGCTGGTACCTCAATTTATACACATTGAACACTTTTTGGTACTGTTTCCTACTCTATTTTTTCTAGTTATAATCTTGACCCCTTTGCTCTAGAAGCATCAAGGGGACAAAACCATCCTTTATGAACTTACAGGTACTTAATTTACACACCACCTGACTGTATTAACGGAAATTCCAGATTGTTTTTCAGTCTGAGGATGTATTTTGTGACATACATGAAAAACCGACCATTACTGCTTTTGTTATGAAAACTCGAGCATACAGATACCAATATTCTAACAGCAAATCTACCTTCTTCTCTCTCATGCAATCTGCCTGGGCTGTTTCCAGACGGGCTCTGAAGTGTTCACAATCCATTTTCAGCTGCTCTATTTCCTCCTCCTTTTTCTCCATGTCTGTTGATAGGATAAATCAGATAAGCAAAGTACTAAGTTACGACCAAGCGGGCTTGCACTCTGGAGAGAAGAATCCATGAAGAGCAGCTCTAATGAGGTGCTTAAAACTCTTTTTGATTGTGTTAGATCACCTCCACGTGGCTAACCCAGCAAATTGCAATTCGCCGAATCTCGACAGTTTTCCTAAGGAACTAACCAAACATGATGTTTCTGATTTAAATCAGGGAAAGACTGGGGGGGGGGGGGGGGGGGAGCACAACTGCA